ACAAATGACTAACCTCTTTTCAGCTTTTTTTTTTCTTTCTGCATGGTACTTTTGCATCTGTCACTTAATACTATTGTCGTTGTTTATTCTTCCTCCCCCTTGTGTTACCACTCTGACATGATTCTGTCCTCCGGATTCGGATGACATTGGCATTATACCCAAACTGGTGGATGTCTGCATTATCGCTGCGCCTTCCAAGCTTGCACTGATTCCCAAAGTACTCCTCCAGCTCCTCATTCCTCCTCTTGGCAGAAACGTTCTGTCAAGACAAACTCTGTGCCTTCCCGGAGAAGGAACTTGGTACACTCAATTGCAGAATGGACGGTGATTTCAAATACCTCGTATGTCTGCCAGGACAAGAACATTCTGGCTCTGGCATTCTGGCTCTGGCATTCTGGCTCTGGCATTCTGGCTCTGGCATTCTGGCTCTGGCATTCTGGCTCTGGCATTCTGGGTATTACCAGGTCTGTTCTGAGTGCTGGTTTTCCATGATTGCAAGTACTCCAAAAACTTCATCAGGAATTTATTAACTCTGCATCAACTGACTTAACAATGTAAATTAACCTCCGTTTGAGATTTTCAAAAGCTAACGTCTCGAGCGTTAGTCTTTTCATAAGAGCGAGTAGAGGAATTGTAGGGTGTGAATAGAATGATGGAGCTACGCTATTGGTGCGAACATGGTAACTGACTCGAAAAACACAAGAATAAATTAGTTGAATTTGGTGTTTTCGGGTGTGTTCAAGGTTGGTGTGCAGTTGCTCAGATACTGAGATTTATCCCAACTATCACAAATACTAGATTTTACATTTTAATTGTTTTCCTTTGAAATGTGAACTTTTTACAAAATAAATTTTTGCCTAAACTTTCATACATTCTCAGTTAAGATCCGGCGAAGCAAAAACAAAATTAACAACGAAAAAAAAAATTAAAAAAACCTACTTAAGAAATTAAAATTGCACTTCAAAGGATATTTACAGAGGAAACAGAAATAAATTAATAAGGCTGTAACATAAACAGTCAAGTTGAAGAAGCAAGAGCGTACCTAAGAGACCGCTATTTTCCATGAATTATCAAGCTACGTGCTCTTTGAGCAAATTTCCTTATCAAAAATTCAATCCGGAGGATGAAAGGTAGAAATTGATTACACTTATTCTCACCTTGTAAGAAAAAAAGTGTTAATTGAACTAAAATTTAAAATTTAACATGGGATAAACCTAAAACAAGAATTATGAGTGATCGAAAATATAAGAAAGACAATTTTCCAGGAAATTTCTCTACAGAAACCAACTTTGACCAAAAGCAATTACTCTCTCGACTAGTAAATGGATAGCTAGCAGAGATGCGCAATCAAATTCAGTATACGTAAACGTGCTCAAAATCCCGATAGTGCACGCTGATAGCATGAGCAAATCGCTTCGCCAGAAGTTTTTTTTTCGCGCGAGCGGCCATTGTTAGTGCGGGGAAACATAATATGTTTCGCGACAATAATGGATACAAACAGAGATTCGGCCTACTAGTCCCAAAACGAAGACAATTTTTCGACCTTTTCCCTTGGGTTAGAGTTCTTAGATGGGGCAGAAAAAGAGGAAAACAACGGAAAAGGAGAGTCGGCATCAGCGCCGTCACGATTCGCTTCAATTGATATTGTTTGTCCATTTTTCGCGTCGGATTTGATGCACAATTCCACCGGCTATGTTCTAAAACAATTGGTTCGTGCTTTTAGCTGTGCACTATCGAGTTATGGAGCACGTTGGAAGTTTGGAGAGCACTCAAGAAGCTAGAGTTGCCTTCGGCTATTGCCCCGGGCAACTCTTACGCTTCTTTCGTGCTCTCCAAACTTCCCACGTGCTCCATAACTCGATAGTGCATGAACGAAACGTAGTCTTCGTAATCTTTTCGAAAACAACAGCTTGACTCTTAAATATGCTAAATCTTATTTATACTGAAACTGTCACACCTTGCGAATAAATAAATGGTGTTGTGTAACTATCCGCCAGGATTTTGCTAATTAGTTTCCTTAAACACAATAAAGTCGAACGGGAATTTTCTCCCGGAACAGTTGCAACAAGTGTTATTGGGAAATAACTCACCAAAAGAACCAGTTACCGTAGAAAATAAACACCTTTTTTCATGCCGAATTCTAGAAATAAAATATGTTCTTTGATCGAAACTGTAGCATCTTATGCAAGTATTTATGAAACTGAACAGACTGTTTTTTGATCAAGTTGTTTTCATGTCTCTTTTTTAAGAAAATTTTCCTGTTTGTGTTGGCAAATTTGATGAATTCCCGACAATATCATATTTGCTTTGGTAGGACGACACAATTGAAAGATTATTCGGGCTACCATGTTGTTTTGAATTTTCAGGCATTAACTCGCACGCGCTCTTACCCTCTTGCGTGATCACGCGTGTATTAATTCCAAATCTTTCTTGGTCTAATTCCTGTTTTGAGCCACCTTTAAAACAAACCTGAACAAAACAAAAAACAAAAAACAAAAAAATTAATAATTGAAAACAAAATAAGTTATTAGAACCTTTACTAATATTGAATAAATAAATATGTTTGGTTTCAGGTGACAGTTTTAAGTTTATGATACCACTTCAAATTTTATTGATGTTGGATTTACGTAAGGCCTTTTCAAGACACATTCTAACGATGGCCATCCTCTTGTTGAAAACTTTGTATATTGCGATTTTAATTGAGTAAGTATGCTTGTGTTTGGATGGGAAAAAAGTAAGATACATTACAAAAAACTGCCCTAAAAAGCCCTAATTTTCAACCATTTTCCCTAAAAATACCTACTCTTTAGAGAAAAAAATCCTAATTTTCCCCCTAAATATTGCTAATAGGTGACCAACATGCCTGAATGTTATAAAACAATTGGTTTATGTGTCAGCTGTGCGTTCATCAAGACTTGAAGCACTTGGGAAGTTTGGAGAGCACTCAAGAAGCATCTTTTATTCGTTATCTCCAAACTTCCTGCCTGCTTCAAGTCTCGATGAACTCACGCTGACGCATGAACCGCTTGTTTATAGTGATTCTGTACGAAATACCAAATCGTACTTTACAAGTATTGAATCCAATAAAAACCAGTAACAGAAACAGGATATTTAACGGACGAGCTAAGCTTATATATTTAACCTTACTATTTAAGTTGCTTCTGTCAGTAGCCTTATCCAATTCGCTGTTGTTCACGAACATTTTTGATTTTTTCAGCGAGGTGTTCGTCTCAGCATCATAGTTTGTTGTTAAATCGGCCGTCACAGTTTTACCAGTATTTTCGTAGTTTGAACTCACGTATGGCTCATTTGTTATCTCATGAGAACTGATATGAACTAACTTTCCACATTTGGCTAGCTTTCAAGCAATGAAGTTCGTGGGCCGGCCCATTCCGAAAACACTCAACATCATTTAGCGTGGGCCTACCACGAACGGCGTGTGCGTTTGCATGTGGGATGAGCTTATAAGACAGGAATCTTTGCAAAGCGGTCTTCACAAAACACAGCATTTTGTAAATTATGTTGTTTACGACGAGCGAGCTCACGTTAACACAAGCGGTCGCACTCTCATCCCCAGTTTCCGCAGTTTACGCAATGAACGCCCGGGACCATGACCCCCCATTTGGCGACCAATTAAAACGGCTTGCATTTTTAGTTTTAGACTCGGGCTTTCCCACGGAAGCCCGAGTAATTATCTCTCGAAGCGAGCCCAGATTGACAGCTGATTTGGGAATCTGCAGATCTGAACGCAAACAGAGAAAAAAGTGAAATGAAAATTTCCGCTAACAAGATTATTTTCTGATCCTATTGGAATAGTTAAAATGTCTCTTCATTTTTTACCAGTATTATCCTGTGAACCTGCCTTTTCTAAATCTTTTCAGCCAAGAGAGAAGGAGCGCTGAGTGGAGGTAATTAATGCAAAGGTGACGATTGAAAGAGAGAAAGTGATTCAGTGGAATAGGAGTGAACGCCCGGAGTGAACGCCCGGAGTGAACGCCCGGAGTGAACGCCCGGAGTGAACGCCCGGAGTGAACGCCCGGAGTGAACGCCCGGAGAGAGACTTACTCCCACCCGATTCACGGAACGGAAAACTCTACTTCGATGGCTAACTATTGCGACGTATAACAACTTCGCTGTATGAAATGATTACCTTCTACGATCGGTCAATGTCCGATAAAAAAAAAAAAACATTTCCTTCCGCACCCAACTTTTCTTCCATCATTTAGGGATGAGAGAGCAAAAAAAGTATCAACCCGAGGTAGTCAAATAATTAATTTCAAAAGAACAGCATGCACCTGGTAGGTTGAGTACAAGAGTAGCTCGTATACAACGCGCGTATAGAGTGCAGTGTGCAGTTTTCGCCCACAAACTCGTATACAGAAATCCTTTCATAAATTATTCTGTGAAGTCATGAATGGATGAACTATTTTAATGACATTGGCCCAAAAAAAATTGGAAGAGTTTAATTGTTGTCGTTTGAAGGCAGGTGGTTAGGTTAAGCCAGCAATTACCTTAAGCAGAAATTTCCGCAAAGTAAACGAAAAACACTCAGTAATTTGCATAAGCCAAAGTTAACGTTAGGTTCACTTTTAAGTTAAGTCGCTCTAACTCCAAACCTCTTACGAACGAAGTCGTAAACAAAAAGCACTAAAACAGGGGTAATCTTATTTCACTTAAGGTCAATAAAGTTTATAAAGGAGTCTGACGGCCGTGCACATTTTTCTTTTAAAAAACAGAGATCATAATATACTGTGAGTCGGTTACTAAAAGCATCTGTTTTCAAGTCAGCCTTAATTTCTATTCATTTTCGCTCCAAATTGCTCCATGCTTAGTCAAAATGGATACCCAATGAGTGTAATTTTCCTTTTCATTGTTAGCTAAGTTCAGAATTACCGAGTTTATCAAGTAAATTTTACGATAATTGACCGAATTCAGCTACCACTCATCGTGATGTTAAAAACATTTCTGCGTTTATATTCTGATAACACGGTGATGACTTGTGATAGTGTTTATCCTTTTTTCTTTTTATTTCAGAGGATTCGTTTTGAAAGTAGCAGATCAATAACAACTATTTTATATGGAGATAAATCCTACAGTTACGAAACTAAGAAAGGGTGGCAATAAAATTGGTGCATTAATGTTTACTCTGCTCAAACCATTGGGGACGAAATTAAAACAGATCTCTGCTGTTTTCATGTTGTTTCTCGCATTTCCTTTGCCAGTTACCCATGAGGTAAAAAGGTTCCTTGCAAAACACGAGAGGACTTTTCAGTCCTTTTCTCGTTCGGTGTTCAACAAGATTGCAATCTTGTTTCATCCTTGAGATTCTTGAGACGCTCTGAACATCTCTCATGATTCAGTTCAGCGTTAAATTCAAGTTTTCTTAATTTTTCCCTCTTTCGGGTCATATCAGCCGCAGTGTTTTGCGTCACCGAGTTTATTGTTTCATTAACATGAACGCTTGATCCTGACGATTCTGATAAATACGTGCAGATGGCTCGATAGGTAATTCTCGCTCTCAAACTCCTGTCGAAGGCGCAGTAAATAATGGGGGTTATCGCCTCGTTGATAAATGTACCGAACATAGCAGTTTCGTAGAGAACGTGTCCTCTATGGATGCTTTCCGTGCCGGACACAATCCGAACACAGCTGAGTACAAACGTTGGCAACCAGCAGACTGTGAAAGTTGCAGCGACCAGACCTGCAGTTCGCGTAACTCGCTTCCTGGTTCTGTGAATAACCGAATGTGGTGTAGCAGGGAAGCTGTCTGCTGCCACCATGGGACTTCTTCCCCACATCATTAGTGTCACGTGAAAATAGCACCAACACAACACTATGAACGGGAGGAAAAGCACAAAGAGGAACTCTACTGCCTCGTACAGTTTATCCAACCAACTTATTGGAAGAGCTTTTGGAGTGCAAATTATCTTGGCCATTGAGGGTATCTCTTTCACCTCAAACATGTACAAATAAGGGGCAGCTACAAGAGTGGGAACAAGCCATGATACTGCTATCATTTTCTTGACGCGTTTTCCCTCCAACTTTGGTAGATAAGGACGAGCCAAGCTTCGATAACGATCATAGGCAATCAAAGCGTGAGTATAAACCGCAGTCCCGGACACAGCAATTTCAAAGTACTCGATTATCTTGCACAAGCCCTGTTGAAATACCCAGTTTCCAAGAAGTTCGCGAGTAAATTCGAAAGGAATCGTGAGAAGACCAACCAAAAGGTCGGAAACAACTATATTTAAGATAAATTGATACGTTGGACGATTTTTAAGAAGACGCTTGTAATTCTTTACGAGGATATAAGCTACCAGAGCATTTCCCAAAACAGTCACGATAAATATTACACCCAAGACGGATGCTTTGGAGATGTCTGAGGCAGAGAACGCCATATCAACACTCGCGCTGCATCGCCCCTGAAAACCTGACAACGGTGAGAATTTTAACAGGAAGGCGCTTTTAATAAACGTATGCGGATAATTTAACAATACAAACTAACACCTGCTGAACCAGATTGAAAAAATTTTAAAGGCTCTATCGTGTAATTTGCAAACATTTCCGAATATTTCAACAGATTAGCTTGATACAAAAAGATGTATTTGATAATATTTTTCGCTGTAAAACAAGTTGGTGGCTGATCACACAGGGGAAGCTTTCAGTGTTTTAAAGGATGCTCTGGGGGGTCATTTTACAACAAGGAGTAAACACTCAAAAAATCAACATATTTATTTGTATTCTCGACAACGAGTAAGTCAAACTCTTTTAAAATTCGAAATTTGGAATTCGCCGAATTCGCAGAATCCGAAAAAAGCTATCAATCGAAAAACCTACAAAGGTCTCTTAGTTCTCATATCGAAAACTTAATCGAAAACTAGAATCTTCCGAAATAAGATGACACTCGCTATTTAAATATTACCAGTCTTTTTATTATTTTCTGTACCCTTATTGTAATTACATGTAATACTCCGCTTCGAATTCCAACTGTCACTGAGATGGCGTGAACCGAGGCGATAATCAACGGAAAGGTTATGAAAATCGGCACGTAGTTTTCATTCACTTTAAAAATTTCAATCATTTCGATAAGCACTTGTTCTTAAGCAAATCGGAACTGTCGTTTATCTAAATGTTCTAACGGAACTCCTACCTTAGTGGTATTCAATTTCCGTATTTGATATGTCCCCGAAGGAGTTCGATGTAAAAGATGAAATTCGATCTAATAATTGTCAATTTTAACTTCACATGCGGAATCTGAGGGATCAAGCGAATGATTAATTTAAAAATTTGGTAAGTTTGATATCTAAAGCCGCGAAAGAAGAAAAATCAATATATAGAAAAATTCAAATTTCTTTTTCAAAAGAATATTGAATTATATAACAAGACAGTTGTGAAATAGTTGACACTGAAGCATAGCCTAAGAAAATTTCAATATGTTTGAAAGAAAATGAATATTGAAAAGCAAACAAGAGCGTTGATGATTTTTATTCATTTCTCCTGGTGTTGTCTTTTCTACGCCTAACTATAGTCATCAACAAACTGATTCCATTTATCTCAACCTAGTTCCCACGTTTCACTCTGGTTTCTTCCTCCGTTTGATAAGAGGTTCCCATTATCAAGTTGGCTTTCTAAATTGGAAACGAAATACTAAAACGTAAAGCTTCAATGCCATCTGTAAAGAGTGGGCGGTTCAATAAATTAGACTCAAAGATCTTTTCTTGGAAGACGTTGGCCCGGATGGCATTGGTGCAATCATCAGCTGCTGCTGTTCGGAAACCGAGCCGGAAGATCGCGGTACACGAGAAATCGAGCCCACGAAAAGCTCTGCTCCCAAATGATATACGTGCACATGCGCAGTTTGCACTGTGGGACTCTTCTAATACAGCTCTTTTTATCACAAAGCAAATAACCGGAGCCGTTTCCACAACGAAGATCATTTAACCAGAAGGACAAAATGTTTGATGTGAATGATGAATTTCTTCCTTTCTACCGCATTCACCGATTATAATTTCGTCACTAATTCCCAGGCCAGGAAGGAAGGGGGAAGGCTCCACACCTGCAGATTCACTTTGTACACATCAAATTGCACACAATTTTTCAGCAGCTTTGCTTTCCAAGAGATTTTTTTGCTCTTTTGTTTTGTTTTGTTTTTTTGTTTTGTTTTTTTTTTTTGTATATCTAAACAAGATCATTTTCTCTCTTGTTTTTACTTCTTTTTCTTTTTTTTTCCTATTTTCTTCGTGTGCTTGTTGTACCTTTTTTCTTTTATGTACTTCGTTTTCCTTCTTCCGGACTAAAACCAAGGGAAGCGAAGGCTGAGTTCAGTGGTATCGTCAGTAGGGTGGCCGTTCTTGAATAGTGCGTGAATGCATTGCATCTCATTATTATTAATGACATAAAGAAAGAAAAGAGCTGATTTTTTTAGAATCAAAAACATAAATCTGAAACTATCATTAATTCATAATTATTCGTGTAACCTTAAGAACTACATAATGAATGAAACCAGGCAAGATTTTATAGCATTTTCCTTTACAATTTTCATTTTTGGCTACGACAAAGAACTCGTAAGAATCCAACTAAATCAACTGTCAAACGAAGTGCGTCAAACTAACTCAACGATTTGGCGATCAGTTTGATTCTTAAATAAACCAAAAGCAATTTCCATCATTTTAATTACTCGTCGGTTAAACAATATTACATGAAAACCGTAAAAAATAACACGGTTTTCCATCAGCGACACTAATTACTTCAAACTGTACTGATTTAGTATCATTTCAGAAGGATATTCGCGGCCTTTGGTTGTTTTATACGCGTATAACATGAATAGCAACATTAAATACTACAATAGAAATTGCATTTCGGAATATAAAGGGTTTCTATTTAGTTCTGCCTGATAAAGGCTTTTAAAAACAAATTACAGTACAATGAAACCCAACGGACATGTTTACACCAAGCAGGTGCTTTCCAAGATTCATTACAACCGAAGTTTATCACAGTAAATGTTACTGTCAAGTCAGTTACTGACTCCCGATCGTCTATATTCAGCGACATAAAAATGGCATTTTCGGCTTCGGATATCTCCAAAGCTGCTTTCCTTGCTGTTATTTATGTTTTGACTGTCCTGGGCAACGCTTTGGTAGCTTACGTTCTCGTCAAGAACAGGAGAGCTCTCCTTAAAAATCGTCCAACTTATCAGTTTATTCTAAACATAGTGCTTTCAGATCTCTTTGTTGGCCTTCTGACGATGCCTTTTGAATTCACCCGTGAGCTTTTAGATGAGTGGATCTTTGGAACAGCGCCTTGTAAAATCATCGAATATATTGAAATCGCCGTTTTTGGTACTGCAGTTTTCACTCACGCCTTGATCGCTTATGATCGATATCGCAGCCTGGCCCGTCCTTATTCACCCCGAATGGAAGAAAAACTCGTCAGGAAAATGATAGCACTATCATGGGTTGTTCCTGCTGTTGTAAAGGCCCCTTATCTGTACATGTTCGAAGTTCAAGTTATCAGTTCCAAACCAGTTTGTACTCCAAAAGCCATTTCATTTAGGTGGTTAGAAAAGCTGTACGAAGCATTCTCATTCCTCTTCGTTTTATTCTTGCCATTCCTAGTGTTGTCTTGGTGCTATTTTCACGTGATACGTACCATCCGGGGAAGGAGCCCAACCGTGGTGGCAGAGAATTTCTTCGCCTCGCAATATTCTGTTATATTCAGGACCAAGAAGCGCGTCACACGAACTTCTGGTTTAGTTGCTACAGCGTTCGTGGTGTGCTGGCTTCCAACACTTGTTCTGAGCTGGATACGGATTGTGTCAGGCACGGACAGTATTCACCGGGGACACGTTCTTAACAAAGTCGCAATGTTTGGTGCATTTATCAATGAGGTGATAAACCCCGTTATTTACTGCGCATTCGATAGGAGTTTGAAAGCAAGAATATTCCCGCGCGTTCTTTGCAGAGATCCCACGCTAGAGGCTACAGGATTTAGTCGTACCAACGAGAGTCTGGCTAAAAACACTCGAAATCACGGACTCAGTTTCAGAGACACTGGAAATCCTCATTCGAAAATTCATTAGAACGCACACAAATATTAACTAGATGGAAAAGTTTCTAGATGTCATTTATAATTGATCACTGTACTGTATTGTAACTAGTCCGGTTACACTGTCAAACAACTTAACCGACTTATTTATACCTTGTGTCGCCAGGGATATGCTCGTTAAAACCACAGTTTGTAATTTTCACACGGGATTTTATTTAAGAAAAACAAGTGATTTATCTACGAATAAAAAGAAATAATAATAATAATAATACGGTGGTATAGAGGTGTATTTGGTGTTTAACATCAACTGAGGAATAAAACATTTTGTCCGTCTCGTTCTAAGGTACGCTTCAAACCTTTTGCAATGATGTTGCTATGTTGAAACTGACGTCGTCAATTGTTATTATATAAGGGAAAGAGTTAAATCTTTGTAATTTATACGACAAGTCGAGTATATTAAAAAGTGTCGCAGCTTCATTTTCCTCGTTGACCCTTGTAAAGCTGAATATATAATACAGTTTGTATTCCGTCCACGGAGTGTGGACTTAACATCAAGATAGTAGTAGAAGACCAACAGGAAAATATCTTGTCACTGTTGAAAATTTGATCCTAACTCCAGGCTGTGTTGTGCATCAAAATCTAGCTCAGGCTAAGCTATTGTAAAACCCGAGGGCGATGAAGAATGGCGAATAAGAAGTGGTGTTTCCCAAGTGGTATTTATCGATTTTGATTAAGATAAGAGAATGAGAGGTTTGTGAGAACTTTTCCTTCTCTAAATTGTCATGTTCCGTGCGTTTATCAGAGAATGAAGTTTAAGAAAAAGGAAATTGGCCTGCCCGACATTTGTACACATTTCATTGCATGGACAAACAATCTAGGACCATTACTCTTTGTGCCGTTTTTAAATTACAGATCGTGTCCTATTTTGCGCGTGTTTTTTTTTTCGAAAGACACCCATGGCACGTGTAGAGGCGTGCCCTAGTATGATTGACGGTTTACGAAAACTCGTTTCGGGGCGTGGCTTTGAAATAGCAAAATACCACCCTGCAAAACATTTTTAAGGAGTTCGGGGTCTATAATTTCTGAAAAACTAACTTGTACGTAGTTTTTTCGTTCCCGAATTTAACTCCTAAACATCTTGACCTTTTTGTTATACTTCTGAGAAGTGTTTGTTCCAGCTTTCCCTCGTTGAACAACGACAATGCCAAACATATAACACCATTGCCGGTTTGTTTGTTTTTGTAGATAGAAATTCCCACGGTATTCTTTCTGTTTGTGATGTTAAATTATTAATTTCCTCTCTGGTCTCAATTCGGGAACAAAAATATAATGAGGACAAAAGGATAGTTAAAAGCATTCACTGACTTAACTTACCGGAAATCGTGAGAGCTACTGAGTTTTGCTCGATTTATTAAGAGCATTCACTGACGTGATTTTCCTGGAAACCTTGGAAACAGCTACGATTTTGCTCCATGGAACAAAAAACGAACTGTTACCTGATTTGAAGAGGGAAACTGAATTCAATAGCTAGAATTTCGTTGTCAGCGAAAATAGAAAAAATGCTCGAGGCCTGAAGGGTCGTTATTACGACAAGGAGTAAATATTCCATTATTTTTGACAGATTAAATGAGGTTCACAAATTAAAGAAGCAATTATGAATTTTTAAAGAGTAACATATACTGAATGCATGAGTTAATCCTCCAATAACAGTTAGCAGTTAAGCCCCATTCAGAGCAGTAATTTTGCATTAAAAGTGGATCTAAACTCTCTTGAGTCAGAATTTTTGAAAGTTTCATCGCCAACTCCGCTCGGCGATTTCTTTTCCTGACTCAGATTAGGCCAAACAATAATTGTGCAAAGTTACATTGTTTTCTTGTACAATTGAACAACTCTAAGTGGAGACTCAAAAGACCTTTTTTTAAGTTTGCTTCCAGAGAGCGTCAATTTGCGTGTATGGAGTACAATTTTGAAATTTTTAGCCAATTTTGCCATAGACAAAAGGCGAGCTTCCTCTCGACATCACCAAGCCAGAGTGTTAACATTTTCAATTACTTTTGTTTTAGGATTTTCTCCGTATTCTGTTTTCTTATTTCATCCCGTCATGAAGAATAAGATCACCTCTCCTGACGCACGGTGTAATTGTCACCATAAAATCCTCTCATTAAAATCTTTTAAAACTGAGGAAAATTAAAAGCATGCCGCCCGTTGTTCTATTGGAAACATTAAGCTTTGCTGGATTTCTCAGTCCAATAGATTATTCATGGTGGAATTAGGTGTTGATGGTACTCAAGTCATCAGGGAAATCAATTGAGATACTCAATACACCTGCTCAATAAACCGAGTTTTTTTACGCGTAACTGGAAAAAAAAATTGCCCCTTTATTTATACGTATTTATTACAGGACTGAGTTTCGTTTACTTCAACAACCGCTGCTAAATTTAGGCAACCGCGATGGCAGCCGACGCCGCCGCTAATATCGCCATGGCTACTATTATAGGACTAGGAATGGTTATTTCCATCACAGGCAATGTTATCATCGCGTATGTTTTGATCAAGCGTCGGAAAATATTGCTTTGGAACCGTCCGACATACCAGTTTATTCTAAACTTGCTTCTTTCGGATCTCGTTATTGGCGTACTGTTATGTCCTTTCGAGTTTACCCGCAAACTGTCCGGCCAGTGGATTTTTGGAAAAGTACTTTGTAAGATTATCGATTATGTCGAGATCTCGGCTGCTGGTACTGCTGTGATCTCACATGCGCTGATCGCCGTTGATCGATACCGTTCCTTGGCTTTACCACATCTTCCCAAACTCAGATCCAAACTCGTCAGACAGCTAATAGCCTCATCATGGATTGTACCTGCTATGGCGTCCTCTCCCTATTTGTACATGTATACCATCATCGATCATCCGTTCTACTTGAGAGATCAATCTCCGTTATGCACGCCAACTGCCATTCCAATACCATGGCTGGACAAACTTTATGAAGCTGTTGAGTTTAGCATGCTCTTTTTTTTCCCTTCTTGTGTTATCTGCTGGTGTTACTATCACGTGATTCGGAGAACATTTGGAAGTCAGTGTGGCCTTACACCATCGGCAAGGTTACCTGTAGCGGAAAAGGCTCTTCGACGCAGCCGGAAACGAGTGACAAAAACGGCCTGCTTAATCGTAATCGTGTTTTTTATCTGCTGGTCCCCGACGTTTCTCTTAGGCATTTGGAGGATTGCGTCTGGAACTGAAAGTGTGCACCACGGGCACATATTGTTCGAAGTTTCGTTCTTCGGAGCAGTTTTCAACGAAGCCGCCAATCCCATCATTTATAGTGTTTATGACCGAAACATGAATATCAGTGACCATATATTTTGCCGCCAAAGGGTTTTTAATGAGACAAGCCAAGTTGATCGCTCAAAAAATTTCCAGGGAATGAATCATCGCGTAAGTGTTATCATGAATCAGGTGCGCATTGTAGAAGTCCCCTCACGGTAGATTATTTCACTGTTTCTTCCATATCACTGATTGAAAACTGAATACAAATGAAAAGTTATGAACCTACATCACTAACATATTTTCTTTTGAAACTTTTTCTAAAATAAAACTTCAAGGATAACGAAGGACAGCCTCATCAATATTCCAAAAGTTCTCTTAAGGCTAATTAAAGTTCAGATCCTTATAGCTTTCAGTCGATTTTGAATTGCTTCTGCTGTCACCACAAAAAAAAACAAAAAGTAATTAACAATCACTCTCCAACGGCTAAGAAAATGTTTTTTCTTGCCTTGAGCGAATAATTTTCCTTATACCTTTTCTCGGGTTACACATTGAAGCAACTGCACTCTCTCCTATGTAATTTTCCGTATCGATTCAAGAAATGCCGTAGAGGCCATTTTGAGAAAAAGTGGCTCAGTAATTTACAACATCCTAATCTGTGTGATAAAAAAAGATTCTCTTTGGCCAATCAGATCGCGTCTTCCTCAGCGCGAATTATTCCCTCACTAACATCGGCTCTGAAAATCGGATCTGCTAAGTGTCATTGTATTTTAATGAAGATAAACATTCGCTTCAATTTCTTGAAATGTGACCTTGATTTTAAAAAAATTAAAACAACTAAACGAAATGTCTAAGACTCATGCGTGTGAATTGTAATAAAAAATCTGCCTTTTTCACAGTCTATCTGTTTAATTGAGAGCGTCGTTGAATAACGTCACATTCTGAAAGGTCACAAAAAAATCGCCGATTCTAACGATATTTCGATTGTATAGTCATTAAACATTACCAGTTCAGAGCAAGGAGCTCAGCACCATACTGGGTTAACTTATTATAACGGTCTTCGCAAACGTATACGCACATTCAGCCGGGTAACCGTCCTCCAAACTGTTCCCAAGTTAAATTGATGTTGGATGCAGCACATCTCGATATATTACACTCGTAACTAATCGACAATTATTTCTGTTCATGTCCTATACCCTTAACAAAGCATCCACTTATTGGTGTGACAACAGCAACATTTAGGTCGATCATGTTCAGACCATACAACTTGGCTTGGGAGCCAAATGCTGAGACGCCTTGGATGCCCTCGTTTCTCGCTCCATCTCTGACTGAAACGAAAGATAAAAATCAATTAGCAAAGTGTGAGAGGCAAACGCGAGCTAAATTAAAACAATAAATTTTGTTTCAATACAGTCGTACAGTCAGCTGGTTGCTATTTCAAACACGTTTCTGTAACAACAACAAACATATGAAACATATGTATGAACTGCGGTTATGAAACGTATATGTGCACGATCCTTCCCAGTAAAGCACTATTTGAGCAATAGTGAAAATCAGACCTGAAAAAAATTTCAGGCCTGTACGGGATTCGAACCACTGACCTCTGCGATACTAGTGCAGCGCTCTACCAATTGAGCTAACAAGCCAACTGGGAGCAGGCCATCAACTGGGAGCAGGCCATTATAGTATGGTATCTGACATTGCTCCCAAGACATTTAACAACATCCACTTTTATCGAGAAATGGTTCGACCTCTCTTATTTCAAGTTTCCTAAACCAGATCGCAGTAATTTACTCTAGAAATAGAACCAAATTAGAAACGCACAAACTGAAAAATCTGAAATCTTAGTGGTGTTCCATCCTTCAGTTTCTCCTGTACATATACAGGAACTCCAAAAAATAGTTCTCGGCCATTTTGAGTAGTTTTCACCATGATCAGTTATCTCAAGTTTGTAATAGAAACCAGAGGTCATTATCTTATTTACCTTTGCTATCAATTCTCGGAGTCGTTTGACCTCCCTTTGAAGTTCCGCATTACTCAAACTTTCACGAAAATTATTTAGGTTTTTGGTTTCGTATTTTATGCCATTTGTTGGGAATCTTTCAACTGCATCTTCACAATTTCCCTTCCTCATTATCCTTATCTGCAAACAAACAGTGAATCCAAATCATACTAAATAACGCTGGTCCAGTCTTATCATTTACATTTAAACATCCTTTTACCGTATTTACTTCAGTATCAGTTGGTTCGGAGCTCAAATATAATTACGGAAATTGTGCTTATCAGGAAGTTGCCACTAGTGTATGCATGTGAAAAATAAAAAGAGCCTGAAACACAGTAGCGTGTTTACTATCTTCTTCATTCTTTTGTGTACAAAGATCATAAAAGCATGTTAGGTTTCCATACGTTAGTATCAATTGTCGCTGTATTAGAGATTTGTGAGTGACATAAGCGATTATAAAGAGCGACATTAAGATCATTTAAAGATCCGTTAAGAGTGTCTAAATTTAATACTCTTCAAACGCTTTGAGAGTATGTAGTGCAAATTTGAGAGCGGTGTTTACATAATAGTTAGATTAAGCACCGCGAAAACGGCGAACGCTGAACGGCGGCTAGCCGTTTGTCGTTGGCCTTTCCGTCCACGATGTTCGTCTGTTTAAGCTTCCCGACGACACGGCAGAACAAATGTTCTGGGTCGCCATTCACTGCGACAAGAAATAATGGATACAAAGAAGTAATGTATTTTCCGCTTGAATTTGAACTCTATTAGCTTTACAAGAAGTTCATATAGAAGTAAGATGATAAACGAAGCTTAGCTATAAAAGCAAGCGATCAAAATGTAGAAATAGTCGGTAAAAATGGGCAGCAAATACTCACGTTTTCGCGTTCCCTACAAACGCGAAAAATGTCCTCCTCGAATAGAAACGGCGGCCAGCAAACGGAAAACGCGGGAAATGTCAGGTCACGTGACCCTCCCTGCCGTTCGCCGGAAAAAAATACGTGGTGCTTAATCTCTCTATTACTGCGACGCGTCGAGTAAATACGATAATGACTGATGATGATTTTGGCAAACTGTTCCAGGAGGTCTTTCAGTTATCTGTATAATACGAGCAGAGTCTTTGATCTGTACCATGATACAGTAGCAACCAGAAAAGACAAAGAAAGCGAGAACAGATATTTGCGACAAACCTTTGGGACAAAGACGAGGCATAACGTCAGAGTGGTACAGAAGACGATGGAAGTGGTGATAACGTAAAAAGAGAATTCATATGCCTGCTTGTCGCTATAAATTGCCAAAGGAACTCCTATCATACAAACAATAAACACGTTGTACACAGCCATACCTGTGGGAAACAAAATCAACAAAGTTAACGTAATGCTACTGCTTCATTACCGAGAAGGTAATTTTTATTTATATTAAAATTATTATTTATTTATTAATTATTATTAATTTATAAACACGCTGTACACAGCCATGCCTGTGGGAAACAAAATCAACAAAGTTAACGTAATGCTACTGCTTCATTACTGAGAAGGTAATTTTTATTTATATTAAACATTATTATTCATTTATTTATTTATTATTATTAATTTATAAACACGTTTTACACAGCCATGCCTGTGGGAAACAAAATCAACAAAGTTAACGTAATGTTACTGCTTCACTACTGAGTAGGTAATTTCTATTTATCAATCCGCACTTCAGATATATGAAATTCACATATTCACAGTCGTTCATTCATCACTCAACGGGTTTACTTCAACCCAACAAAATGACCAGCTCCCAGTTAGCTTGTTAGCTCATTTGGTAGAACACTGCAACTGTATCGCAATAAATTTTCACCGATCTATTCAACAACACATCCCTAGTTATTTAAGTAACCTGATCTGTAGTATATCATCGTCTGGATATTGGTTACGCAATAATAATACTATAGTTTTAGAACCTCCAAAAGGGGTTATGCGCACAACTTTAAGGTGCCCGCTCGTTTCATGCCTCTGCGCCTGCGCTGTGGAACAGCTTGCCTGCGCATATCCGCACGATTGATTCGCTAGAGCTATTTAAGAAATCTCTTAAGACCTATCTTTTTAGGCTAGCGTTTTAGATTTGCACTACAGTCTTGTCGGTATTTTGTATTTATTTATTTACTTTTTATTCATTCATTCTTTTATTGCAATTATTTATTGTAAATAGTATCTTTATTGTAATTATTTACTGTAAATGTTAATTCTCCTGGATTCTAAAGCGCCTTTGATCATCCTATAATATTAAAAGGCGCTATATAAGTAAATAAATTATTATTATCATTATTATTAAATTATTGTTATTATGCTAGAAAACAGTTCTACGCTCTCACCTTTTAACCAAAAAGTTTGATTAGCGTCTTTATCACTCCTAAATCACACATTATGGTCATGACAATAAAGGAGATGATCACCAACTAAAAAGCTATTGATCGTTAAATATATAGGCAATTTCCGAATTACTTTTGGCCTCTTTTTCAAAACGAGGCCTGGTGCTCAACCATTCTTGTGAAAATGAGTTTAATTTTCATGTGAATGAAAACTTATAATCATATGAAAGGATTAGCACCAGGACTCATTTTGAAAATGAGGCCAAGGGTAATTCGGAAATGGGCTATTCTCTTTATCGTTACCCCAGGAAATGTATAGAGAACAAGAGAACAGAGTAGAGGATATGCATACTGATCTATTGGTGTAAAAGGTCAAGCTCAATGCCCCAAAAATACTAATTGTGGTAATTGTTAGTACCAACTAACCTATATGATGGGAGTCATTCAGTGCGGCTATCTTGACTTTACGAGTCTCCCACGCTAAAAACGACCCGAAGATGAGAAGAATTCCTTTGAAACCGTACACCAGAAGCAACCATGTAACAGCTCGGTTCATGGTACAGTAGTAAATCATAGGCCTCTCAATGACGTCTACATTGTGCTCATGAACTGTCTATTTTAACAAAAAGTGGTAGGTAGAAAAATAATGGCGGATCCTGATTATTGCACCGAAAAACCAAGTGGTTATGTATGTAATCATGGACAGAGTAGAATTCAGCAAAGGGTAAAAGCCCTGTTTTATTTTCAGAATCATTTTGATGCATGTCGGTCTTGGCTCACATCATGATAGGTGAATTATAAATAACTAACCTAGGATTAAAAAGACTAGATCGAGCTTTCTGGACAAGGGAAGGAAAGCAAAACCAAATTAGTCCTGGATAACCCTGTCAAAACTCGATGGAAAATTTCACCTTTTCCATCACCTTCAATTTCGAAATCCCAAGAGTATTATTTCACTACCTCCTAGAGATTCGATACCTTTTGAAATATCTTGGGATAGATCACCTTTGGAATTAAAAGCCCATATACGAGACAAAGTAGGTGAGCTTCACTCTCTCCAGCAGAAAGAAAAAATCCGTACCTGGTCGTAGAGGTACTTCTTATCCTTTCGCAAGGGATCCACAACCGACCAAATAAGGATAATAACTATGTCGACAAACAGGAACACAAAGATCATTCCAAATAAGTGGATGTCTTTAATCACCTGCAGAGTCACAGAAACAAAATATAGAAGATTAGTGGCTTCTTCCATTCAGGATTTAATTTGCCTTAATTAGATCGAGCAAGTTGTGAACACGTTGAGCCAGTAGTTAGCGCGCTTACTCAAATCCAATTCAAATGATCGGGCCGATATTCCCGACCGAGGGTATTTTGTGGAATTCAAGAGAACGACACTGATTGAATTGTACAGAAAAATTTCAAGAAAGCAGGAAAAACTCAAGGATAGACTCTACATCTCATCCCGATAGACGGACACTATTCCTAACTGCTTTACACGATGAAAAATCGAGATAGGATTCGGTTCTGTGGGCCATTTAGCTCGCATATACAGACTTAACCAAACAGATAAACCAACTCAGTTTAGGTGTCCAGGAAACATTTCTCAGCAACTAAAGCAGCAATCTTTCAAGCAGAGATGCTTGGAGGATTGCTCCAAGAGAAGCTTTAAGAACCACACTGAGAATTTGTGGTACAGTACACTTGAATACTAATTTGAGCAAATGTACTCGTTAATTACCCGTCTTCGTACTCTGATTTTTCTTGTGATTCTGTGGACACGCCATGTCTTAGAGAACATTGAACCAAAAGCGACTGTGAAACCGATATCCAAGGTTATAACTTTGGCCTAGAAATGGTACCAGACATAAAAAATTAGCTAAAACCTAGTAATTGATCATGATGGAGCGTTGAATTAAAAAGACTGTTTGGTCAGAATTCAGTGGATCTTTTTCAAAATGCTCTTTACGTTGCAAATGTAGCTGGTAAGACGTTCTCCATCTATGGCGAAGAGGAAAACAGAAACATAGGCTAAGATGCAACCAACAATAATTGCATTGTTGATGTTAGGACTGGACATCTTGATGAACCTATGAGAAGAGAAAAAAAAAAAAAAAAGAAAGGTTATCCATGTTAGAAGCCGAAACTCAATGCCTATTTCTGTATTCATCCCTGATCTTTTACTATATACATTTAATTTTTTTTCATTACGCCCTCTTTTGTTAAGGCGGAAACGTGATATTCACTCTATGAGCTAAATGAGTGCCTCGTTTGAAAAAGCTGGAAGGGGGGCAGGCGGGGATGCGTGTAGAGCTGATCCCTCTGTATTTGACAAAGGTTGGAAAAAGTCCGTTCACGCCCTTTTATTATTATTATTATTATTAATTATTATTAATTATTATTATTATTTTTTATTATTATTATTATTATTATTTATTATTATTACTACCGTTGCCTCTATTGTAATAGAGGCAGATGGGTGGAAGATAAACGCCGCCAGCTTTATCGCAATCGCAAAAAAACCATGGTAACGCGCCGCCTTTTAGAAGGAAAGCGCCGATTCCTTTTCCACGCAGAGCTCAGATCTTGTGCTCGTTATCCACAAAGTGACTGGTAGGCTGGGCCGGGCAAAGAAATTTCATACATCCAGCCTCTAGAAAGCTGACCAGAGATTTAATTAGCTCTGTCAAGTGCTCCGATCCTTTCATTAGCGATTTCAATGTCGAGGGTAACCCGAGTTGCTTTAAAACAGTTTTCATGGATCATCAGTAAAGGTAAGAATGATGACAAGATTTAACTCCCAGGTTTTTTAATACAATACGTTCGAATAAAGGGTATTCAGTTATTTTGTTCCTTGAATTTGGAGAAAGAGAAATTTCGAAATAAAAGGGCGTGAAAAGTCCGTTCGCCAGGAGGCAAGAACCAAGAGCTAATGAGTTTATAACTTTCAGATTTTTAGATTAATTATTACGTAGACTATGCATTACTATACTTTAATTAGATTTAACAGTTTTGTAAATGATACCACTTGATAATTCAGTCTGTACATAGTTTCAACTGCAAAGAGTGGATTAAACGATATTTATTACTATTATTATTTATTATTATCATTATTATTATTAGGTTGGGAACTCGATAGTTTACTAAGAATTATGACTTGATTTGTATT